TTGTAGAACAAGGAGTTGCGAAAAATTTGTGGGGGTGTGGAGAGGGAATAAAGGATGTCCAAAAGGAGGTGGAGAAGTTAGTGGAGAGGTATGGAGAAATATTTGAGGAAGAGTTGGGTTGTTTGAAGGGTTATGAGGTGGAGATTCGGATGAAGGATGGATGTGTGCCGAAGTATTGTGCTGTACGTCGTGTACCTTTTGAATGGAGGCGGGAGGTAGAGCAAGAGTTGGATAGATGGGTAAAGGAAGATATTGTATGTCCGGTCGAGTATAGCTAGTGGGCGACACCTTTAGTACCGGTGAAAAAGGCTAATGGGAAGTTGAGATTATGTGCAGATTTCCGAGTAACATTGAATCCGTGGGTAGTTGAAGTAAAATATCCGTTACCGAGGATAGAGGAGATATTGGCGAATTTGAAGGGGAGATATCAAGAAAGTGACATACTTACTAGTGTATTCACATATTTTTCGAAGGTGGACTTTTCTAATGCGTATTTGCAGTTGAAGGTAAGGAAGGAGATGCAGAAGTTGCTGACCATAACTACGCCCTAGGGACTATTTGCGTTTAAGAGATTGCCGTTTGGGTTGAGTGTTTCGGCACCCATATTTCAGAGGACAATGGCGGCCGTTTTTCAGGGTTTGGAGGGAGTGTTTTACTATATGGACGATGTCTTGATAACAGGTATTACGCAGGAGGAGCATAATAGGAGGCTGGAGGAGGTATTTTGGAGAATCAAGGAGAAGGGATTGCGTGCTAGTAGAGAGAAAAGTGTGTTTGGAGTAATGGAGGTTGTTTATTTGGGTCATCGGATTAATGGAGTAGAGGTTAGACCGTTGGATAAGAATATGGTGGGTATTGCAAACATGTTGAGGCCGAAATGCAAGTCGGAAATACAGTCGTTTCTGGGAATGGTTAACTATTATCACAGGTTTGTAGAGAATTTTGCGGAGATAGCGGCACCTTTGTACCAGTTGTTGAAAAAGGGAGAGAGATTTGATTGGGGAGATGAACAGGAGGAGGCGTTTGAGGAGTTGAAGTGTCGGATTGGAAAAGAGCCCGTCTTAGTGTGTTTTAATAATGAACTGGAGGTGATATTGGCGGTAGATGCGTCTCAAAGGGGAGTAGGAGGAGCGTTATTGCATCTTATAGAAGAGCTGGAGAAACCGGTGTTATTTTTCTCTAGAATTTTTAGGGCCGCGGAGATGAGGTATTCGGTAATTGAGCAAGAGGCATTAGCGGTAATTTTTGGATTGACAAAGTGTCGGGAGTATTTGATTGGGCGTCGTTTTGTAGTTTATACGGATCATAAGCCGTTGATACATTTATTCCGGAAGGATAACAAGGAGTTGATGATGTCGCCGAGGTTGCAGAGGTGGTTATTGATGGTGGGTAGTTTTGACATGGAGATGAGATATCGTAGAGGCCGAGAAAATTATTTGCCGGACATAATGTCGAGATGCGGAGCAGGGGAGGATGTGGAAGAAGGTAATACAGAGGAGATGTGTAAGAAGGAGGTAGCGATGGTCATGGTGGTATCGAGAATGTTGAAGGGAGGTCCGGTAACGTGGGAGGAGATTCGGAAAGAGACGCAAAAAGATAGGGATTTGAGTCGAATAAAAGAATGTATAATGGGCCGGAAGCCGTGGAAAGAAGGAGATAGAGCTTATAAAAATGTTGGAGGAGAATTGACGGTGATGGACGAATGTGTAGTCCGGGGAAATAGGGCAGTGATACCTGGGAAGTTGAGAGGAATGGTGTTAACAATGTTGCATGCAGGTCATCAGGGAATGGAGCGTATGAAACAATGGGGACGAGAATATGTATGGTGGCCGAGGATGAATGTGGAGATTAAGGAACTAGCGAGACAATGTGTAGCATGCAATACTTGGGCCAGGATGCCAGCAAGAGATAGAGAAGGGACTTGGCCGAAAACAACGGAGCCATGGGAGAGAATTCATGTCGATTTCTTCGAGTACGAAAAAAAGGATTATTTTCTAGTGATTGATGCATTTTCTAAATGGGTGGAGTTTGAAGTTGTAGGAGGGTTGACGACGCAAGTAGTGGTCAGAAAATTGAAGAATTTGTGGGCAAAGTTTGGAGTGGCTAAATCAATCGTGTCCGACGGTGGACCAGCGTTTAGCAGTGCAGAGTTTGCGAAATTTTCCAAAGAAAATAGGATACAGCATATTTTATCTCCTCCATACCACCCAAGCTCCAATGGGCAGGCAGAGCGGATGGTGGGGTTGGTGAAAGATTGGTTACGAAAGGCAAAGTATGGGAAAGGAGAAGTATGGACGTCGGTGATGTATTATAATAATAGTAGGAGGGGAGAGGATTTGTCTCCAGCAGAGAAGTTTTTAGGGCGCAGAACGAGGATTGGGTTAGATGCTCTGAGGCCGGAGTCTGAGGGTCCGAGGAGAGAACGGGAGGAGGAGGGACCAGCAAAGTTTATGGTGGGACAGTCGGTGTGGGCGAGGGTATATGGTGAAAAGGAGAAATGGCGAGCCGGAGTTGTGATGGAAAAGGTGGGAAAAAAGTTAAGTCGGGTCCGTTTTCAGGATGGCAAGGTTGGTGTGAGACATGAAGATCAGATACGCAGAGGAACGGAAGCGGGGCGAAAGTGACAAGGGCAAGAGGTCAACGAGAGGTCGGGCAAGAGGTCAACGAGAGGTCCGAAGTTAAAAAAAATATAGGTCAAGGTCAAGGTCACGGTGGCGGTGCAGGTGGTCGTTCCCGGGAAGGGAAAGGGGAAGTATGATATAAAGAGGGGTATATATATAAAGTGGGAATATAAGTCAAAGTATGATCAAGTCAAATTGTAAGGAAAAATTGTAATGTATCAGAGTAAAATAGTAAAAGAAAAATTGATTTTTGAATTGTTTTTTTTTGTGAAATTTGGTGGATCTGAAATAAATATTAGAGAGAAATGTTTAAAAAATGTTAAATTAGGAGTTTAGATTAAATTAGGTAGTAAAAAAAAAATTTTTTTTGTGAAGGTTTGTGTTAGATAACATAAATTAAGGAGAAATAAAATTACTAATAAAATAATGTAAAGGGAAAAGGGTTTTGAAAGTGTATATTAAGTAAAATAAATTTTCGAAATATATTTGGTGGAATAAACCAGTAACGAAGAAGGAATAAGCGGCGGAATAATTATGAAGCGAAAATAGTTGAAGGTTCTTGTTGTAGACGGAGGGGCGGAGGCAGGAATAGAATGGGGGTGGATAATGGGAATTGGTGGATGGGATTATGTGAAATAAAGAGAAATACTGAGAAAAGTAAAAATTAATTTTAAAGAAAAAAAAAGTAATAGTAAAAAAAAGATAACGGGGTTAGGGTTGAGTGATTTGTATTATAATGTTTTTTGTATTATAATGTTGTATTTTGTTGGCAGGGAAAAGTGAATTAAAAAAAAATAATAATAATAATAAGATGTTAATAAAGGGGGTAATGGTTGTTTGTTGTTTTTTTTATTTTTTCTTATGAGAAAAATAGTAGGAGTTAAGGTTAAATGATAAAAAAATATAATATAATTAATAAAAGTTTTTCTGTTAACGAAAATAGAGAGAGAAAGAGAGAAGAAAATAGAGTTAGTGAGATGAAGGGAAACGATTTACGAGTAAGAGAGTGTTGAGAAAAGGAAAATTTTGAATAAGTAAGAGAAGAAGAAAACATAAAATTCATAATTTTATTCGGTAGAGGAAAATATCATTTTATTCGGTATGCCGATTATCAACAAGTAAGTCGTTATATATATATATATGCAAGGAGAGTGATGAGGAAAGGGGAAGGAAGAAAAGGGGGGAAGCGGGAGAGAAAAAAAAAATAAAATAAAAGGGAAGGAGATAAATGATTATTTGATATAGATACATAGATCTGGGAACGCATTTGATACTGACTACCATCATCAGTGCGGACATCGAACCGTTGGCCAGCGAGTGGAGGGCATTAGCGCAAGAAAACATGGGAACAATAGAGGGAGTCAGAAGACCGACGGAGCGTTACAGGGAGCCAGCGCGTGAAGACCGAGAAAGAATTATATGTTATGGGTGCGGAGAGGCGGGCCACATACGCCGGTGGTGTCCTAAAAAACGGTTGGAAGTGATGGGAGGAGCGGCCAGGAAGGAATTGGAGCCATCATCAGTCGCTTCAGATAATCGGGCAATATCATCGGGGCGAGAGACGCGGAAACGATATCCACCAGGGGCACAGGACACATTGGTAGTACGAGTTGGGAAGGAGGAGTATAAACAGCTGTTGGATCCGTCCCAGTTAAATAAAGGGGGAAGGTGTCGTGATTGACTCCGTCAATCACGGGAAACGAGGGAAAATATTATTATGATGATAAACATTTTTTTTTGGTGTGTTATTTTTATATTATACGATTTTATTTTTCGCGTAAAATTAGGAGTATAAGCATGATTATGGAGTTTTAAAATTATAAAATAATATATTTTTAGATTATAGTTTTTTTTGAAGGTTAGAGGCTTCCCTATAAAAGGGAAGCCGAAATCTTAAAAGATGATTATGTTTTTTTATGTTTTTTTTTGGTTGTAATAGTATATATAAATTTTGAAATAAATTTATTCGGAGTTTTGTTGGGATTGAAATAAAATTATCATATTCTTTTACTCGGACTTATACGGCACAACGTAATAAAAAGATATAAGAAGAAAATCGTTCTTCACTCTAACCTTGCAAACAGTATAGACGTTTCATTTTATTAAACAGAAAGAATAAAATAAAATTCTATATTTTCAAATTTATAAAATATTTTTAAATTGGAAGGCAATATTTAATTTTTATGAAATGAACGTATAAAAATTCTCATAATAATAATTATAATTATATTTACTCGATCTATCTTTTAACGTTTCTTTTGAGGATTAAAATAATATATCTGTATGTTTATCAACTTCTATATTCTACCTAATTTAAAAATTTATTTAGTATAATAAAATAATTATGAAATCATTCACAATGGCGTTAAATAATTTTACAAACACTACTATTAAACTTTAAAATAAATATTTGAAATCATATCTATTTTATACTTCTATTATCGATAATGATATCATATCACTCTAATCTACTTAACTATGAAAACAAATCAAGAACAATTTTATATAGGTGAAAGAGTACTATGCTATGAACCTGACTTAAATCTTGTCAAAAAATTATATCCAGCCAAAGTAATCATTTTTAATAATTTGTAAGCTAGTAAATATATATAATTCAATAATACAAGTGTCTATTATGATTATTATAATTAGATTGTTGACATAAAATTTCAATCACTAAAAAATGGTAAAAGAGCTACCACATTGTATTGGATTCATTTTATTGGTTGGAAAAAATCGTAAAGTTCTAAGAATTTACAAAAAATAATTATTATTTTGATTAGTTGGGATTGGCATGTTGAAAAAGATTATCTACTAAAAGATAATCCAGAAAATAGAGAACTCAAAAAACAAATTGACAAAAAATACTTACCCCTTTCTAAAAAGTAAATAAAAACATGCATAATACTTTAGCCAAAAAATAATTATTTATTTTAAGAAAATTAGCTTTAAAAAGATTGGCAAGAAGAGATAAAAATATATACCAACCATCACGTAACTTTACAGATCGATGGTCATCACAAAGAAAAGAATATATTAGTGAGATACCACCTACAATTAAAATAACTCAAGATGATGTATGATTTTTTAAATATCAATATATTTTTATATATAACATAAAGATAGGCTATACTATTCCACAAAATCCATCCATTTCAGAACATGAATTAATAAAAATACCAAAGATAAATTTCCCAAATTGTTTACAAAAGATTCTTGAAAGAGACAATTATTTAGTTATCCAAGAAGATAAAGTTTATATGTATTTAATTATGGTGTGCAATATATATATATATTAAAGGACAATTAAGATAAATCATTTTGTTACTTTAATCAATCTTTCATATTATTAGATCCCTCTCCTTTGTCACCTTAACCACTCCACTAACAAAATCAACAAATCATTTAAAAGTGATACAATCAAAGAATCATTTCCATATAATTCTCCACAAAACATTTTGTTTATAATGGAAACTTATATAAGAGCTTTTCCTAAACTCATTGCATCTCTACCAAATACTAAAATATTTAGTAATATAAATCAAGCAGATATAAGTGGTGATCAGAAATCAAAATTCATGCATCATCATGATTGTAATCAAAATATTCTTTACCAAATCTTTACCACCAGTTTAATTGGTCAAGCCAAATTGAAATCACCACAAAAAGAGTAATTAAATAATATTTAAATTTGATAAAAGCACAATGATATTTGCTCATAAAATATAAATTCTTTTAATGTCAAAAAATTATGAATTTCATATGATAATTTTGGGTTAATAATGCTTACTACCTTAAGGCACTACCTATCAAATTTGAATTTTGTTCATTTTTCATTTGGATAGGCATTACCAAATATATTTATAATATATATTTGAAAAATCGTAATTTTTGGAAAGCCTCTATGGCCTAGTAGGCAAGAGCTTGGCTTACTGATCCCATGGTCATGTTTTTTTTATTCTAACTTGGTGGTTCCATCATTGGGGGGATAATATATAGGAGGCCGGACTCGACCATGTGATTCTGTAATAATATATTAAATAATAAGGGTCTTATTACATTTTAATAAATTTTGTTTATATTTAGCAAATTAGGTTGGTATATAGAATATTTCCTTACATTCACTTGGTAGTAGGCATCATTAACCATAATTTTGTCATTTATTCATTAGTATCTAACCATCAATAAAATATAGGCCTGATCCCTACCCTGAACAATATCAATGTTCCATTACTATTGCCTTTTTGTCTGATTAATTTTCATGTTAATTTCAAAAATCAAGAAAAGTTTTAATAAAATCAAGAGATGGGAGATGTTCATTTCATATTATTTTTTAAATAACATAAAATAAATATATATTGAATCATCAAAGTTAAAGTTAAATATATAAATCGAATGTATAACATTAAAATAAATATTTTAAGCTTGAAATTTTTTCCCTATATAGTTTAAATAAAATTATGGTCACAGGACCTGGTATTGTGCCAAATTTGAGCAGATTTAAAAAATGACTAACATAATATTTTAGCCAGAGAAATATTGCCTAAATCTTGAGATTTTGCTAATAGATGTCCTAACCTTTGGGCCATCTATGATAAAAATGTTTAGGCTTGTATAATATTTTTCTGAAAAAAATATTAGGTTTTTGAATTGGCTTTTAAAACATATTTTTAACTTAATTAATTTGGTGATATTTAAGTGCTCCAATTCAACAATTTTGAAGATTTCAACACATATTTTATAGCTAAAATTCATTGGCGCCTCATTTGATTTTAAAAATGATGTTTTAAAGTGTTTGGGATTGAATTGACTGCAATTGTTAATAATATTAATTTCTCAATTTAAAAACATTAGTGGCCATTTTCTATGAAAATTGATGTTTGAAAATAACTTGGATTATAAAATAACTGCGATTGATATATTATTGCTGAAAATATTATCTTCTCACTTCAAAAACAGTGGCGATTATTTTTTTATAATATATGTTTTTGAATTAAAAGAACTACAATTAATGTCAAGAAATTTCAGAAGCAAGAAATCCCATTCCTCCTTTTATTAAGCGTTATATTTAAAATATAATTCAAATAATAAAAAAAATGAATCCTTAATATTTTTATATGGAACATTTTAATATATGTTTTCATGTTTATTATACAGCATTCGTGCTCTTTTACAGAATATGTAAATGCTGCTTTATCTATTTTCTAAAAAAAATCATAATTTTAACTTGATTCATTGGTTTTATATGTTCAAAAAAGTCCATTAAATTCATTTCAAAATTGTAAAATAATTTGAGCTATTTTTTACCAAAGACAGTATTAAACAAATTTATATTTAAAATCAACAAAATGACCTGTATTTTAAAAAATGGCTGCGATTAGCTTTTGGTTTCATGGCTACTCAAGTTGCACAACTATTAATGCGATATGATATTTACTGTATTTTGTATTTATCGCGGCAAAATTATATTCTTAATTATATTTATTTACTAATTTAGTATCGTTTCTTTTCTTTAAAAAAATTTGAGAAATTGTTTCATGGAGAAAGACTTAAGCTTAACAAACTTAAAAGTGGGTTAGGGGCTTGTCATCACATCTCATGGCCATACTATCAGGATGTGCTATTCCTGGTAGATATTGTAACCAAGGTTACAAAATCCTCTTTAGATTTATAAGGAAAATATATTCTAATGATGTAAATGAGGGGTTTAACTAACTAACATGGGAGATAAATGTATATATAATATAGCATTTGAATTGGTAATATATTTATTATTTAACTGTTCTTAGTGACAATAAATTAGATGATATAATTATTCCCAAAATTCCTGCATTAATTAAGCTTATACTGAGTCTGGTAATTAATTAAGAATATTTAAAATATATATTATTTATATTAAAGAATCTATGTCTTCTGTATTATAAATGTCTTAAGAGAAAGTTCAATGACATTAGTAATTTATATTTATTATTAGCTTAATTAAAAAATTGAAGATGAATTTAAAACACATAAAATTAGAGCAATAGGAAAGGATACTAAATATAGAGATGTTTAAAATTAAAAACCTGAATATGGCATATGCATAACGATGAGGGAATAATTGGATAAATATACGGAAAGGTAGAAAAATTATTTAACTGATTGAATATTAGATGTTCTATGCAATTTTTACTATAATATTTATGTTTAAATTAAATAAAATGATTTTATATATATTTATATTATTTGAAATAGATATTTTGTATATATTTATATTATTTGAAATAAAATATATTTTTATAAATATAGGAATTATATACTATATAGCGTTTTTAGCGATATATTCTTACATATATATTTTATAATGAGTAGATTATATTATAGGAAAATTTATTTTTATTAAAATATATAAAAGATACAAAATAAATATATAAAAAAAGATTTTTATATAAATATAGGCATAATAAATTTTTATTAAATTTTGCAATATTTGACAATTTAATTGATTGTTGCTTAAATAAATTAATTTTAGCTCGTGTTATTTTATCAAATTTTTGTAGGATATTGTTTTGCCAATAGCCTTTTTTTTGAATAGAAATTCTCCAAGTTCATTAATTGTTGTGTTGATTGATTAAAGTTTTTTCGAGTTTTAATTGTGCAAATCTTTTCATTCATAATAAATTTTCTTAATTTTTTTTAGTTATTGATGGTTAAGAATATTTAATTTAAAGGATTACAGTGTTTAGCTCGTTATTATTAGTATGCATTTTATTTTATTTTGGAAAATAGAATATTTTTTTGATGTGCAAGAATAAATATCGAGTTAAAAAGTTAATAATTTAATCGATATTTATATAAAAAATTACGATACATCTATAATTTATTTTATAAATAATTGCGCTAAATATAGAAACATAAATGTTAATAAAAATATAATTATAATATAAAATTAATACCATAATAAAATGTAGTATAAAGTTGTTCTTCTCTTTAGGGCTATCGTAGAGAAGTTATTTTATAGAAATCGCAAAAATATTAAAAAATAAACTCAGTCTATAGTATAAAACTATATTTGATTATAGTAATGTTTATATAAGGTTTCATAAAAATCTTTATATTCAATTTTCATATTTTAAATTTAATTCTTGGAATAAGTGGTTTAGAAATTTTTTAAAATAATTTTTTCATTTTTTACTCATATTTTCTAAAGATTAAAAGTATATTATATATTTGTTTACTAGATTTATTATAAATAATTGTATAATTTATCAATCATTAAATTAATGAATATAGACACGCAAAAAAGGCAATTTTTTTTAATACATTGACAGTAAAAATCTCCAAAAATATAAAAGCTAGGAGACTAAAATGAATCTTAGTTTTCATCAAAATTAAATGGAGTCGACCAAATCCTGAGCTGTTTGGCATGGAATGGCCCCTATAATATAGTTTAAAATATAAAAGCTTTAAACCTGATTCTGAGATCTAACATTGGGCTATGGAAAATTAAATAAATATTTTCTTAATGACCAACATTTTATCCTGACAACATGGTAAGTCACGGATATTATATTAGTGGCCTATTTTTTTATAATTTATCAGGCCTTGAACCTTTAAATTATTGGCCTAGAACTGATGGTTTTTTTAAGTAAATATTGATTGATCCCATATTTTTTAGATATTATTTTAATGCATAAATTCTAATTAATCTTCATTGTTTGTAATATAGAAAATAATATTTTGAAATATAAAGTTTTAAAGTCAATATTTTTTTAAAATAAATCAGTTTACACATGTGCAAAGAAACATTAGATGGTTTAAGGAGATGCTTTGATTATTTACTGACTTTAAGACTACTCTATGCACGAGAAAAAGAAGTTTTAACTTTTTGCCATCCTGAAGAATTTAAATCAAATAACCAACGTTTTAAGCCCGAGAATATTAACACCAAACTTGACAAGCAAAATAAGTATAGTCTTATATTATAAATAGCCCATAATTTATATTTAAAAAAATTTCACATAATACTTTTATAGGAAATTAATTTGTTTTAGCTTACCCAGGTTAAGTTTAAAATAATAAATAAAACATTTGATTTTATTATATTTTTTTATCGCATATATAAAAGATACTCCAACAAAAAATTTAAATTGGGTGAAAGTTTTATGGATTACACATCTTGTCAAATAACAAATAGGATCGTTACCGCTCTACCCTTTCCTTATGAATCTCTACTCTTGCCAAATATTTATCGAAATCAATTTCTCAATCTGGAAAATCTAAATGTTTACACATTTAAATACAAATTTTATTTTTATTTATCAATTAAACGTAGCGTCGTATTTGACGGCCTTAAAATAGTAATGTATAGTCAGGGACCTGAACCTTTATTTAGAAGGGTTCAGTATATAAATTTTAATCGTTATGGTTCTTAATAAATTTATAAGGTTTTGGTTCGGTTCAGCTAATTGTAAAAGTTTATAAAGTTTCATTACGGTTAGAAATTTTTTTAAAATTATTATTGAAGCAACATCATCTTATAATGATTTTAATCAGGGATCCAAACTGGAAACGAATATGGGTTCGGTTCATGTTTGGATAAAAATAACGGTTCAGGTTCGGTTCGTATAAAATAAAAATATCGGTTCGGTTGAATCTCTAAAAACCGGTTTGAACACTTGTATTTAAACCTACATTCTAATTATGTATAGGGAAGAATACCTTTTTTAAATTTCATCATTTACACATTATAAAATAATATTTAATTTATAAATATAACAAATAAATATCAATGCTTAATTTTAATATGAACAATATTTAACTTTATTTACTAAAAAATTTTTTATTAAGCCATTAATATATGTCAAGATTCGTCTCACTGATATTGCATTTATAAGGAGATAGTATAAATTCAATTGTTGAAAAACATGTTTCCACACAAACTTGGGTAGCCGGCACTGCCAGTATGATATCAGACAATTTACATAATTTAGTCTAAAATATTCATATTTTTATTTAACCTAGGTTCTTTAGAAAAATTAACTTAAATATTTCTAACATTCTCCGATTTTTGTAATAGATAAATCTTTTTTAAGAAGACTTTCTTTCAAATCCTCTTCAGATGAAGATACATTAACCAGCGTTGATTCACCTTCAATAGAATCCTCCACTCTTATAACAAAGTTTAGTTTCATATGCCATATTTTAATAGTATGCTCCCTAGCCTTGGTTTTTTTTCTTCAGTCAGAAGCACTTGACATTTATATAATAAAAATTAAAAATATTATTTTTTATGAATTGATAGAAAAATATATAAATTAAAATTAAATTATTAAGTTGAATAAAATTAATTAAATTTATATAAGATATAATATAACATTTTTAAAACATAACTTAAATCTAGATATAGGCATGACAAAAGGCATTGTTGTTTAAAAGTTGTTTCTTTTTAAAATTCATAGCATCTATTGAACAAGCAAAGAGTGAAGTAAAAATAAAAATTTCTAATTTAGCTTTTAGCCATATGCCATAAAAATACCTTAAGGTTAACGCTGCTAAGTTATAAGTTCTTGGTAGCTACTTAAAATGTTTTTAGGATATTTATCAACCCTATTGCTTCCCATTCCAAAGCTGTAAAATAATGTTCACTTATGATACTTGATCTGTAATTTACTCAGCGCAAATTTGTGCTATGAATGATAGGCAAACAAAATATAATTGTTACTGAGTAGCGTTGACGCTCTAGAAATAATTGTATAAATTTTTTCCGCCACTTTTACTAATACTTTTTTAAAATAAATTGTTTACTTTCCCATTTTAGACTCATATTATCGCTTCTGAACCTTCCACAACAAATGACATTAAAACTGAAAATACTTTTGATTCAGCTTTTATAGGAGGGATAACAAACGATATTTACTTAGACCATATTCTTCCGCAAAATTTTTCAGCCAACCTTAGTCCAACATCTCCTTCCTATATATTTGGAATTGTTCATTTACTTCGTTTCTTAGGTAATATTTTGGAAAGAAGAATAATTTAAATAGGTTTTAAAAACTAAAATCTAAATTACCTATTATAGTAGAATTATAAACCTGCAGTTACAGGCTGGCGAACTTGTATTCCAGTAGGGGGGGGGGTATGACGTAAGAAATTGGAGGAGATAAGAATCCTTTGAATCATATTAGAGGGGGCGGGAGTAATTTTTTTTGCTAATTTGGTGGTAGTGGGTAAACCCTAAAGGGCTAATATCGTGATTGGTTTATGGTGTAGAAGGACTATACCAATAAAGTTGAATAGAATATTTTAAATATGTTAAATTCAATTTATTAAATATTTATTTTTTAAAAACATATATTAAAGCCATCCTTCCAGATATACTTAACCAAAACAATGTTTTGTTGTTGTATCCCAAAGTGTTTGCTAGTCAAATTGATCTCTTCTTGCAGTAACAAACTTTAAAAAATATTATTAACATTTATATTGTGGGTTCATAAGGTTTACATATAATTCTTCTAAAACAATTATTACTAGTTGCCTTTTATTTTAGTTATAACATAATATTTTCAGGTATATAGCCCAAAATCAACAGATTTATATGCAATCTTACGTTTACGTTAACGCATCTCAGCTCAAAGATTGGATTACTAAAACAAATTTGACGAGGTTAAGGATAAGTCAGAAAAAGAACAAAAGAATATCAAATAAGCTCTTAAAAAATACAAAAATGACGGATGAATCAAACACCACAAATAAAATATTAATCTAAAAATCATAAATCTCTTCTTTTGGGGGATTTATGAAACAAATTTTTGAAATGTATTATATTAATATATAATTTATCATTGTATATAAATCAGTTAATACATAGGCCATTATTTATAAAAATAAATGACAAGAAAAATTTCATATTAGCAATTCCTATATATTTTATTATTTAAATGAAGGTATAGTCTTAGATAATTGATTCAACTAATTGAAAATATATCTATAATTCCGTATCTTTATTTCTGATTTTTAAAAATATCTATTGTTCATTTATAGCCAACTTGCAAGAAAGATTTAATGATTTGAAAAATATGGGCCAGGCTTTAAGCTAAAAAAATACAGATATAGGATAAAATTTTAAATGATATAATTGACTTGTTAAAAAATCATAAGATGGACATTTAAAACATTCATTAGTTTTACATATTAGTAAGAGTATCTTAGTAATCATGAGATATGAAATCTATTTAAAAATCAATTAATATTTTCGCTCAAAGCTACTTAAGAATCTAAGGAGCATAGATTTATTATTACCTTTAAAAAATATATAAAAAAGTATATAAGTAAATTGGTAGTTAAAAAAATGAGGTGATATAATATGATTATCTAAAAGTAAAATAACTTTTTTAAAATATTTGTAGCAAATGAAAAAAAAATGGTTGTGGTGATTTTCAGTTTAATTATAAAAAAATGTTATTTAATAAAGATATTGATAAATTCTAAATTTAAAAATTTTCAATTCCGGGCAAAGGAAATCCATTGGCGAATGTCTTAACTTCGTGGCCTAAGCTTTCTATTCCCTTTTTGAGAGCCACGATTTCGTTGTCGTGACTGATTTCTTCATTTTTATTATCAATGAGGGCTGAGAAATCTTTCAGATTTACAAAGTTTTTAGGGTTAGGATTTTTTTGCAGCAAATATTTCTGTATACCTATACCTAGTGTCAGGGCTAAAATAATATTAAAAATAAGATATATTTAAAATTTGTCATTGTATTGCTTGCTCTTATAGTAAAATCACGAGGGCAGACTTGTGAACCGAACTAAAATCTATAGTATCGAACATGGGTTAGGAAATTTTTGAAAAATCTGAACCCACCCCAGGTTTTTTTTGAATCTAGAGCTGGTGTAGTGCATTTTACATAAAAGATAATAATTTAAATACTTTGAAATATCAATTGTTTAAGTGAGGTTTCAGGATTTATAATATTTATTCCACCCTTTATGGATGTTATATTGTGAGTGACCTATACAAAGTAGGCTAAAATACGGTGAAAATATATGTCGTTTAGCTTCAGAACACTTTTAAAATTATTTCATCTTAATTAATTTATGTATAAAATCGGTTGCAAAATATAATGCGTTAAAGCTACATATAATAATTTGCATTGCTTAGTGTATAAGGGTGATTCGGAAATAAATCCTTTATTAGATATTTGTGAAGTATTAAATTTCGAATCTTGAAGTTCAGTATCATGGGAGTTTGTTAAATTGTATGCTTGGTGTTGATGATCAGCATTTATTTTGATATCAATAACCGAGAAAATCGAGATTTATTATTTAATGATCCTTTTTACTAATAATTCTTGCATATTTTTAATTTTGCTTAAAAGAATTCCCCATCTCCGTTATAATGTGGAATTCAGACCTAATAACATTAAATAAAGGTAAACCATATCTAGGTAAACAACTTCTAAGTAAAATAAGTTTAAACCAAACGATAAATATTATTAGAGCTAGCTCGCCAAAAGATCCACCCATCACCGTTTGTAACCTCTCCATAGCGATTGGTAGATAACATTTTAACATATTCTATATAGTCGAATTCACTATTTTAAACCTGCATGATTGTGATGTTCAAAAACGATGGGAAGTTTAGTTTTTGTTTTAGTATCATTGCCATGCCATAGTTTCATTAGCTTAATAATTACAAAAAAAATAAATATTCATATCTTGTGTCAGTTGAATAATGTTAAGCAAGGGTGCATTCCTTTAATTCTAATGCTGACTTAGATAATTTATTTTTCTAGAGGAATTATTAAAGCTTTATTTCTATTTTGAATGACACACAGAAAAAGGAGTTATAATATTCATATTATTATCATTTGATACTTTTCCCTGGATTAAATTTCAGGAAAGTTTATACTGGTTGTATTTTTTACCGGTCTAGGGTGTCTCTAAAAATGATATATGATTAAAACAATTTTATAGCAATGTGGGTTCTAAAATTAAGTGTGAAATTAAAATTCCCCAATAATATGTGAGCTAACAATATTTCGCGCTGTCATTCTTGATATTTTAAAAATTATCTTAAAAAAATGTATTATATTGACCATAGTAATATTTTATATTTTTTTTTATCATGACGATTTTGATTTACACTTGTTTTTGAGGAGTATCATCATCTTAGTCAGTTGTATTTGCAATAATATTTTTCTCTTCATTTTTAAAATCATATTATCTTTTATATCAGAAGTGACTTCCTCCATATGTTATAATTTATAAAATAAAGTTAGACACATTTTCTATTATTAATAATTTATATAAAATTTAAAAAAAAAGAATTTTGAGTTTTTAAAATTAAATGTATTTCCTTCAATAGAAAGTGACAGTTTAAAGATCTCAAAATACATGTGCTGAACCAATAGCTTAGCTAAACTCAAGTTTTTGCAAAATGTATTTCGCTACTGCCCAACTCTGTACATATATTCATTTTTAACATTGCCATTTATGATTTGTATTTTGAAGATTATGTAAAATGTAAATTAAATAAGCTATTGATCTAATTTTTTTTTAATTCATATTATAATTCTTCATTTGAAATTTTAAAATCCACCTTACATACTTTTAAATTACAATCATTCCCTGAAGGATAATTTTTATATGTTCATAATGTGTTGAAATGAAACTTTATGTTTTGTAATATTTTTTTAAATTTTATTTTTCTTAATCAATAAAATAAAAAATTGATTATCATTTATATTATGGTATAAAAATCAAATGACTATACAACATAATATAATTAACCAAAAATAGCTGCTAGGTTTCAAGCTTAAAACATTGTTACGACTCATGACCAGGGTTGGTAGGTCAAAATTTTCAAATTGCGGGAGAAATTTGATATTATGCGGGAGAAATACGAAAATTGCAGTAGAAATATAAAAATTGCTAAAAAAAATTTTTTGCGGGCTGAATTGACTTAATTATCCGCCTATTATTTTTTATAATTAGTTTATATAAATACAAAGTCGGTAACTATTTTTCAAAATAAAATAACATCTTGATTTATTAAAATATATTAATTTATAAAAAAACCAATCTTTTTTAAATATACAAGAATGTAAACAAGATAAAATTTTATAAAAAAACGATTTTAATTTTACAATAAAAAATATATTTTATGCGAATGTCCCGCAAAACGACCGCAATTGGAAATCTACCGTGTGTGTGTATAACATTATAGGGATGGGCGCTTAATTATCACGTTAAATACATTATAAGGTACTCCAAAAATAATAAATAATATAGATGCAACTACAGTTGCGGCAATTGTAATCAATTATCTTGTAGTACAACATTCAAAGAGATACTTATCTTCACAATGTTGGTATAATCTTTTTCCCATAATATTTAACGACTCTAATATAAATGAAAACTATACTTGTAGTGTTGTAGCTGTTGAAAAAAAGAAGAAATAAATTTAATATAATATATCAAATGTCAGTTATTTTCTGACAGGGGAATTAGTGTTTCCTTGTAGATGGGAGTGAAACGCAATCATCACATGGGTTTTTGGTAAAGAACAATAAAAGTTTCTTTGTGTGCGGTTTGGATTGAAGAAGACATTATATTAAATGAAGCCAGGATGGATCGTGAAGGATTTAGCAATTTAATGATTATCGTTTATGATACGATATTTTTATATATTTGTAAGAATAAATTGGATGTAAAATTATCCTAGTTGGTAATGTTTATTGTTGATATTTATTTAATTATTAGAAAAGGATTGTTAAATTATATTTTTTAGAGAGAAGGGTTGAGAGTAAGGGGCATTTGTAGAACAAAAATGAGCAAGGCTATCAATGTTTTAGGACCTAAATCCAGGAGGTCAATTCTTGACGTTTTGAAAGATGGGCAAACATTTGCAATTCTAACAGATGCATTTAATAAGGGGAATATTAAAATATTTCCCTTGATCCTCCACTATTTCAACAAAAACTATTAAATTTTTTCCCCTCAAATAGTGAAAAATCCAAAGACATAGCTAACCATATAATGGTAAATATAGCAGATTCGAGAAATTGCATGTCAGCTTTCTGATCTGGTAATGCCTCAGTGAATTTGGTAAAACAGAGTGTATTTACAGAATTGAGTCAGCACAATGTTGGTTGCGATATGTTCCTAATACCCGCCATCGATAAAATTTTATAAACCTTTAAAAAAATATTTCTTAAATAAAGATTATAAAAGCTGTCCTAACATTTTAAAAATTATTTTCAATAATGAATGGCAGATGTATATTTAGGAATGATTTCACATGTAGGAAATCTATTGCTGTTAATGTGTAATTACAATCAGAAGAATCTTAACAAAGATTCACAAAATTATGCTGCAGATCATTTTTACAGTTAAAAATTGACAATAAATTTTATGGCGCCATTGCTAAAACTTAATTATATTTTATTTGAAATTTAAATAATAGAACTAAATGTTTACCGTCGTTATTGAGATATTTATAAAATTCCTGGCATGACATATTATTGCTCGGCCTCTAAAGTTGTTAAAGCAATCCGATTTCTCTCCTTTTCTAGGCAGTCCTCATCAGGTTAAAAATGCGCTCGGATAAGGCATTAGAATGAGGTAAGGAGAAGACATACTCGCATATTTTTTGCAAGCATGGGGATTTATCGTTATTACGAAAAAATTCTACCCATTTCTCCTCTGTTTTTAGACCATCTAACTTTAAGTATTTTGGCGAATCATAAAAAATAGAGAGAATTACAATCTCCCCAAACAAGAAATCAATGTCTTTCGGTATTTTTAATATATTTATTAAATTATAAAAACCATCAATTGATGGTTTCTGTTCCAAGGTCATAATATTTATACATTTGTAAATATAGTTATTAAAATCAAATTTTGATTGTAAATATTCTAAAATTGTCTTAATAAAAATATCTGCTTCATTTAAAAATGAATTAATTAGAGTATTATTTGAACATTTTTAATATTTTTAGCAATAGCGCCATAAAATTATTTATTATCAATTTTAACTGTAGAGATGAACAGAGCTGTAGCATGATTTTGTGAATCTTTTTTAATAAAGAATATTCTGATTGCAACTGAATATTAACTCCATGAAGTAGATTTCTTACATGTGAAACGAATCCCAAATATGCTTCTGCCATTTCATACTCGAAAAATTTTTCAAAATTTTAGGACAGCTTTTAAAATCTATATTTAAGAATTATTTTTTTAAGGGTTTGTAAAATTTTAAAATTCTATCGATGGCAGGTATTAATGACAACCACCTGATAGGGATATATCGCAACAACTCACACCATTCCAAGTCAGACCACTTCACCAACTCTTTTAATTCTTTAAATCTTTTAGTAGATGACCTAAATTCGTTAAAACATTTCATCACAATTATTTTGACATTCACAGATAGTACATTCCAGTGACGAAGCGTCAAGTTCACTACTAGGGAAGCAATCAAAAAAATTTTTATTTTTATTTTAGTCAAACTCAAACCATAAAAACATTAAGATTTATAAATAAGTGGTATTAGTTTTTGAGTAAAATTATCAAGTACTGCATTATAAAAGTTATCGCTAGCTTTTAAATGTTTTAATAATTTTTTTTCAATCGAAATAAAAGATAGATTCGATAATCGATTTTGGTTCGTCCTGTTTCTGCAATAAGATTTGATTCTTTTTAAAGATGAAAAACTCCGTTCTGCATTGCTGTTGTTGAAGCCAAAGTTATGATGAATTTGCATAATTTATAAAACTTTTCATCAAATAGGTGCATATTAAAAATTCAAGTATTTCATTAACATTCTTTTTCTTTCTAAATTCAACATCCCGAAACACTACTTGTAATTCGATTTCCAGCTTGTGTAAGTCGAAAAATTAAGAATAAGTGTCGTTTAAATTATCTAATAAATATTTTGGGAAATTTTGATTATTTGGAATCGACTAATATCTATCAATTCGACGAATTTAATATTTTTTGGTGTAGGACATATGAAATAGAATTAATCAAATCATTTTGAATATCGCTTGATAGTCCAATAAAAACTGCACTATTTCTAAATGATGTTTCAATATTAAATTTTCTGTCGCGAGCAAATAAATTAATTCAATATAATTTCCACTATTTACTGAATTAGAAGATTCATCATCACCACGGAATACGAGCTCCTGAATTCCAAGAAAACTTATAGAGTTGATCAATATTTTTATATTTCTCTATTTAATTTGACTTTAGAATTATGCTGTTCGATTGATATTTTACACATCGAATCCATCATATCTTCAATACGATTTTGGCCAAATGTTTTTAATTAAATCATCGACTGCAAATGAGCGATTGACTTTTCGTGCCGTTTAACTGCCTTTGAAAAATTATTGATATCCGAAAATCCTTTATCATTCCAAACATATTTTTCCTTTGGGAATAATAGGCATGACCAACAATATAGTAGAAAATTAACATCCAGTGAGCCATTCATATTTTTCGATAGAAAAATTACAGATGCAAGTTTTGATTTCTTTTTTTAAGTTTTGTAAAATTGGTTTTGGTCTTCCTTTTTCAATAATCAATTTTTTCGCATCAAAATTTCTTGAGCTAAATGATAATGTTAATAAATTTTCAATAATACAATTACAATTATTAAAAATTAATTAAGGATTTTAAAAACGAAAGATTTTTTATTTTGAAAAAGTAAGGAAAAAAATATTATATAAAAAAATTTCTTTCTATTTTCTTTATTAAATAAATAAGCATTTTTTTATTTGCTTCCCCAATGCTTATTTTTTTAATGGTAAAATTATATAAGATTTTCTCTTTATTTATTAAAAAAATAAGCAATATTAAATTTGCTTCCCTCATGTATACTTTTTTAACGTAAAAAAAATAATAGTAAATTTTCGTAGTAAAAATAATAGTAACATTTTTAACGTAGTAAAAATAATAGTATTTCTTAATATAGTAAAAATTATTAATTTTTTTAACGTTATAAAATATATATTAATGTTTTTAACGAGTCAGTTTAGTTTATTTAGCATAGTTACAAAGGGTACAAAGGTTATATTAAGTTTATTTAAAAATTTTGTAAGAAAAATTTTAAGGGAAGCAATGCTTCCCTTGCTTCTATGGACGCTTCGTCACTGGTATATTCATTGCCTTCTTGCAAGAATTTTGTAGTATATGGCGTATACAGCCAATTGGTATTAATTCATTATTGTGCTGCCTCAATTCGGTAACTTTGGTTTTTGCCAAAATTTACAAAGGCATTATCAGCGCAGAAAGCTGACATGCAAATCCTTGATAACCCTGAATCAGCTATATTTACCATTATGTGGCTAGCTACATTGTTGGATTTTTCACTATCCGAGGAAAATATTTTAACAGTTTTATTGAAATGTTCTTATTCTTGTTGAAGCGAAGGATCTAGGGAAATGTTTTAATATTTCCCTTATTAGATGCATCTGTTAGAATTGCATATGGATGCTAATCTTTCAAATAGTCTAGAATTGACCTCTAGGATTCAGGTACTAAAACACTTGTGATAGCCTTGCTCATTTTTGTTCTGACACAAGTAAGGTTTGCACTTATATTGGAGTCGTTAAATATCACGAGAAAAAGATTCGACCCACATTGTGATTATATAGCTCTGTGAATGTTGAACTACACGATAGATGTATACGATTTCCGTAAATGTAGTTGCATCTGTATTATTTATTATTTTTGAGAATATTTTTGTATTGCAATCGATGTTGATATACTCCCCTGTACTGACTTATATGAATGAAATGATGTTGATTATTATTGGATAAAAATTAAACAGGATAGAAAGAAATTTACAAACTAGATATGTTTTTCAAATAAATATTTAAAATTTATTTAAAAAATATAAAAATAATCAATTAATGTCTCTCAAAATTATTATTTATATATTAAAAATGATAAAATACTATTAAAAAAAATTGCGGGAGAAATAAAAAATTGCGGTAGATTTTTGCGGGAAATTTCCAATTGCGATAGTTTTGCGGAAGAGAGATGTCTGCGTGTAAACTAAAAAATTGCGAGTCTCCCGCTGATGGGGGGAGCATGGCAACCCTGCTCATGACATGTATTAATTGCTTAGGTCAATATTAAAAAGGTCTATAAGGCTCTATGTAAAGCTATGTTATTAACATCCTAGAATGGCAAGAATGGCAATTCATCATTAAAGTTAGCTGCATGGCTCTAGTAATGATTGTAGATTTCAATGTATGTATACCTTTTAATGCATTTAAAGAATGTTATTGTAAATGATTTTTTTTAATACAAACTCTATTCTCAAACCTAACCGGGTTCAGGAAGGGCTTTCAACAGCGAATCACCCTCCTCCAATTTATTTGACTTGAACCGTACCCGACGAATCTCACCAAAATTTTAGAAAATTCACAAGCCTGCACAAGGGTAATATATTTTTTGATAAACGCTAGATAAAAATATTTTTACAAATCAAAATGAGTATAGCATTTTAATTTAGTTAAATGTTATTAAGTAATTAAAGAATTTTGCGAAATATAAATAACAAACACCTGAAATAATTAATAAACAATGATTCACCATTTTTTAAAAATTAATTATGAGAGTCCAAAAAATAATATGGACTGGACTTAAATTAAATGGCCGCGTTTAAAAATCTAAAGTCCATGCCAGGCTAAACTTAAATTATATCATTAATCAATGGAGCCTTTAATAGTTATTTACTGCTGATATTTTCAATTTCTCTTTCAAACAATTTGCAAAAATATTTAAAATAACAAAATTAAAAAAAAATTCCGGACTGGGCCATGAAAATCCCGGGTGAAGCTTGAATACGAAAAAAATAATAAAATCGGGTTTGTTAGAGCCTGAGAATATTATTTATATTTAAATCCGAGTGGGGTCTAAAATCTCTACATGCAGATAGGTCTTTGATACATATTTAAAAAAATTGAGTAAATAAGAGGGGAGGAAGTGGCTCCTTGGTTGAATTAAATGGGAAGGTCCATACCAAATTTTAGTTACAACATTTATATAACATACCAGAATGTATAAAAAAAGCTACAGTTTTCATATCTGTATCTTTCATATCTCTCGAGGTAACCGCCGGAGTTCCTAGCCTGATGCCAGACGGGCTAAGAGCACTTTTATCGCCGGGAACAGTGTTTTTATTACAAGCGATCCCTACTTTCTCGAGAATTTTTTCCGCCTTATTGCCCGCAAGATGAATGGGAGACAAATTTACCAATATCATATGATTATCCGTTCCACCTTTATACATTATGTTATAAATTATATATATTTTTTTAAAAAAATCTACCATTATAAATATTTTATATTGAATATAAAACTTCCCATTAATTTCTACTATTTATTTCTATTAATTGTAATATCAATTCTATATAAGGATATAAAGTGCTGCTAAAAGTGCTATCGAAAGTAGTGCGCTACACATTTTGAGCAACAATAAGTAACAATGCAGTTATGAAAAAATTGCTAAATAATAACGCACCAATTTCGATTAATATTTATAAAATGATGAATATAATGAATTATATTATTCATAATTTGAATAAATAAAATGGGTACATTTTTAAAAAAATTTAATTTTTTTCAAATCTTAATCGCATTTTTTTTATTAATTTAAAATTTGAAATCAAAATGTCGACATTGTTTTAGAGCGGCATTGTGGAATTTGATTGTATGAGTGAAAATCGATTATAGAAAAATAGCTTTCTAAAAGGACAATTCTTAAAACGGAATATTCGTTTTATTTTTTTCCTTCATAATTGTCCAGCGTTTCTAAGTATAAAGAATAATATGTGTTAGAACAATATTATATTATTTCCATAATTTTCTGTTTGATACGATTTCTGGATATATATATAAGCCCACGGAGTGGTAACATCATTAATAAAATATAGACAAGGCCATATTGATGCCACATTTCCTATTTTTGCATGATTAAATATCACATAGTAAAATAAATTTAAAAAATAAGAAAAGTGGGAAAAAAAATGAGGTGGGAAATATTCACTATTCATTTTGTAAATAGAATATAAACATGTAACATTATCAATGCCATTTATGAATATTTAACTTAAATGCTCAACATTAGAATGGCTGCAAATTCCGTGCCAAGATCTTTTTAATGCTAATAGCCTGCAGATGAGCTTGGGTGGAAAAATATCGAATTCAATAGGATCCCACTAAGTTGTCCAAGGCATTTACTCTTATATATTCTTAGTTTGAATTTTGTTGGAACCACAAGTGACTACTATATAATAAAACATGACTTCTGGTCTTTGAATAAAAGCTTAAAGGTTTTTATAGTTAATATTTTCTACTTTTGATGATTTTGTGATTAGAATCATACCAACTGCAAGGGAGATGCTATTCTTGGGTGATTGTTTGTGATTATATCAAAGAATTTTGAAGTCCTTAATGATATCGGAAATAATTTATACATGCCACTATTAAAGATAATAGGCATATACATATGATCCTGTCCCACCGCCTCTTTACTCTAAAGGGGAATGAAAATAGAAATTAAATTTTAGTGAATAAATTTTTATCGTGAAATTCCAAAATTTATAATATTTTTTTTGATGCTATGCCACATAGCAATAGTTCAATATGCTTCATTTAGAGAATACTTTTTATTAAAGTAAAAACATAGGGTAGTTTAATTATGTAACAATGTTGTAATAATTTACAGGAGCCCAGATGAGTTCCAAAAACGCTTGGAATGCTAGAAAAATTTAAACTAAGAAAACACAAAATTTAAGTAACAGATGCCGTAGGCACAAATGGGTATATATAAATTCACCAAAAAATTGTTGATATGATTTAAAAAGTTATGCTTAAAACATATTTTCAACTTAAACTACCCTTTTCTTCACTTACTTTGATTTAAAAAAGCTTGATAAGTTCAAGCATTTTAAACAATGGGCACATGTCAAACCGAGAAGTCGAAGAATTGAACTTCAAGGTTTTCAGGCTATCAATATAGAATTTTATGTTATCATATGGACAAACTCACAAAGGCAAAACATACGGATATAAATTGACTACATAAAATCAGAAGAGCATACCGTGCCGTCAGCTAAAAGACCATAAAATAAGGATTTCATAAAACTCATTCACGTGTCAGCAATATTAAACCTGTGACAATATGGTATCCAAGGTCCTGTAGTTCTTTGCAAAGCGCCCTAGAGTTGACTATAACTTGCCTAGCGTATTGCTTGAATTCCTCATTGTTGGCCATTTTCAGTGCCACAGCAACACCTTATTTTTCAAAAAAAAAAATTATACATTGAGTAAAGATGCTATTAAATAGAAACATGAAAAGTTGTTGTATAAATTTAATTAATATGATTCCTTATTGTAAATAAAAATATTTTCCTTTTATTTCAATGCTTATTTTTTTAACCATATTATTTATGGCCGTGTCCTAAATCAAAAAAATAATTTGCGAAATGCACAACTTTAGCGAGTTTTTCGAGATACGAAACATGTCCCGAATCATACATTTATTTTCAATTTTAAAATGTTTGATATGCATGATTTACTATTTCTCGATTTTATATTATTTGAAGATACGACTGAGCCTAGAAGAAGGCATAGATTTTTAGAAGGACGGTGAAGAAAACAAGAAAAAAAACAAGTTATATTTTGTGTTTTGGATTAAATTTTATTTCTACTTTTAAAAAATAAAATAATAATATGTATAATAATCGACTGGTATATATATACTAAAACATTTCAATCAACTGGTATATGTAACAAAACATTTAAATTAATACTCAATAAATTATTTCACAAATTTGAACAAACAACACAATATGTAACAAAACATTTAAATTAATACTCAATTAATTATTTTACAAATTTGAATAAACAACACAATTAACATTTCCCTCCTCGACAAAGCATCAAGTTGCTGCTCTGTGAGTGCATAAGTCTGTCTGAGTCGCGTGAGTCCATACGTTTTCGTAGGTTAGTTAAATTGTTGTACGTCATCAATATCATAAGGAATAATTGATCAAATTTGAATATATGGAATACGGAATAAAATTTTAAATTTGGAAAAAAGAATTTGGAATAAAAATTTTGGAGTATGGAATGATAAATATGTAGATATCCGTAAGAATGATAAATCAAAAAAGATTATATAAAATTTCGCGTTTTTTTTAAATTTTGCGTTTTATATATTTTATTTTAATAATTTAAGTAGCGTTTTAATATTTTATTTTAATAATTTAAGTTGCGTTTTAATATTTAATTTATTTATATTTATATTCAATCTCCGAGGTTTAAATATGCAAATAAAATATTATTCACATTTCCCTCTCTTTAAATAAAAAATTTAAATTTCACACCACATCATTTAAATACTTATCTAAAATGAAGATGTTACATAACTTGTCTTCAAAAACTTTATTTCAAAAACATTTTTATCATATTAAGTATTACTTATAAGGGTTATTTAAATCAATCATGTGATTTAAACCTTTTAATTCATGTTTTAATCACATTTTAATATATTTAAAATTAAAGTTTTATCTTCTTGTTTAGGATTTTTAATGGTTTATTTTTAATTATATCTAAAAATTCATTTTTAGGTTTAGTTAATTTACAACAATTGGTCATCATACAAGATATCAAAAAAATATCAATATTTCACTAAGAAATTAAGTAAATAATTTTTTTAAGGCTTTTTATGTGTTCAAATATGTCCATTATTGATTTACATTTAAGTCATTTTAATAAGTAAATTTACAACATGCCTTTATCTCGGCATAAAATTTTAATTTATAATAACTTTTCTTCTTACGTGGATTAGAATAATAAGTAATCATCATTGGTCTCACAATATAGAATTCATAACCTAACGTCCAACTTCCATATTGGTTCTTTCTAGGTTGTCACATTAGGTTAGGTGCTGGTTATCATATTCCAGTCCAACATCCAGAGCCAGGACACCATGAAGAAAGAAGCTTTTTGCAAGAAAGAACGTGCTAAGGTATGATTCTTGGTCATATCAATAGATAAGGTAGTCATCTCAATAGATTAGGTAGTCATATCAATAGTTAGTCATCTCAATAGGTTAAGCAGTCATCTCAATAGGTAGTCAAATCAATAGATAAGGTAGTCACCTCAATAGGTAGTCATCTCAATAGGTTAAGCAGTTATCACAATAGATAGTTATCACAATAGATAGTCATATCAATAGATAAGGTAGTCATCTCCATAGGTTAAGCAGTCATCACAATAGGTAGTCATCACAATAGGTAGTCATTACAATAGGTAAGTCATAACAATAAATAGTCATCTCAATAGGTTAAGCAGTCATCTCAATAGGTTAAGCAGTCATCACAATAGGTAGTCATCTCCATAGGTTAAGCAGTCATCACAATAGGTAGTCATCTCAATAGGTAGTCAAATCAATAGATAAGGTAGTCATCTCAATAGGTTAAGCAGTTATCACAATAGGTAGTCATTTTTTTTAATTTTAGGCAAATTTTATATATTTTCTTTTTTTTTTTTTACAAAAACGTAACGGGGCGCCATGAAGAAAACAAGAAAAAAAAAACAAGTTATATTTTGTGTTTTGGATTAAATTTTATTTCTACTTTTAAAAAATAAAATAATAATAATATGTATAATAATCGACTGGTATATATACTAAAACATTTCAATCAACTGGTATATGTAACAAAACATTTAAATCAATACTCAATTAATTATTTCACAAATTTGAATAAACAACACAATTAACAGACGGTATATATGATATGATTTATATTATATGTATTAATTCTAGAGATCAAGGAATTTTTAGAACATTTGATAGATTCCTTCATATCCTGACAAATTTCGTCAGATGTTCCATATGCATGTGGAAACATTAAATTACATTCTTACAAAATTGGAATCTATAGACACCACTATAGTTATACATAAAAACTCTATCAGTATGAAGCATAGACTATATACAACACTCATGTATGATGATTATTTTTTTATATAATATCTATATATTTATAGATATTTGACAACTGGTATGAGCTTTAGAAAAATAGCTTTATATGCTAAGATTGGCAAAACATCAGTAAGTACAATAGTTACATCAACTTGTAGATTACTATGGATTGGTCTTCAACCCAAGCATCTCTGTTTACCAACAGTTGAACAGATGCTTGAAATTTCAGCAGAATATTTCAGGAAATTAGGTTTTCCTCATATAATAGGATCTATTGATGGAAAACATGTTAAAATAAAACAACCTAAAAAAAGTGGTTCCACATTTTATAATTATAAAAAATACAACTCCATTGTCATTCAAGATATTTCAGATGATAAAGCTAGGTAATTATATAATTTCTAAATTTTAATTCTTTTCTAGATTCATGTTGATTGAAGTTGGCTTTCCTGGGTTTATCTCAGATAGAAATATCTTTTCAAAGAGCCTATTTTATGAAGGAATGATCAATAAAATCATCAAGATACCCAATCCAAATTTTTTACCATCTACAGATATTATAGCACCTTATGTATTTGTAGGTGATGATGCCTATCCTTTGATGGATTTAATTATTTATTATGAAACCCTACAAAACTAATTTGAATGATAATAAATCAACTTTCAATACTAAATTATCAAAAGCCAGAGTATCAATAGAGAGATGCTTTGGCATCATGAGTGCCAAATTCAGACACCTTTATAAACCATCAGAAACTAATATTACCAATACTATACAAATAGTAAAAGCTGACTGCTTATTGCATAATATTATAATAGATCTTGAGGGAAATCATAGCACAGATATAAATCATGAACAATACCCAATACTCAATTTTACCCAATCTCAGTTCCAGCGATGGACTGAAAGCTCTAATAATATTAGAGAAACTTTTAAATTTGTAAATAATTATATGTAAAATTTTTGTACACATTAATTTTTGATTCCCATAACCTTATATCTCTTATGAATGTTTTCATTTGTCAAAGTTATATAATTTATTTATAAATATTCAATAAGTGTTGTTTTGATTACATTATATAAGTAAGACAGTTATAAAATGACTAAATTTGACATAACCTTATATTTCTTAATTTCCATAACCTTATATCTCTTATGAATGTTTTCATTTGTCAAAGTTATATAATTTATTTATAAATATTCAATAAAAAGTGCAAATAGTTTTGATTACATTATATAAGTAAGTTATTTCTAATTAATTTAATGAGTATGACAGTTATAATATGACTAAATTTCAATAATTTTTATTATAAATAAATATACAAAATATGTTTAACATATTATGGTATTAAAAATTAAGATATAAAAATATAAAAAATATGTAAAAAATAATTAAAAAAATACAGTATAAACTATACAAACATTTTTGTTATAAATTTTAATTTAAAATCAAAAATTTCTTTTTCAGTCAATATTAAATTGAGCTTGATATCATTTGAAAAAACCCATAATATTATGGGGATCATCTCCTTGGGATGTATGTTTGGCAGCAAAACCTATTTTAAAAATTAATAATTATTAAATATATAAATGTACCACTAAATATCTCCATTTTTTCATGTTCATACTTCTTAGATTTTTTAGCTTTAGATTTAGGAGTATCTAAATTCTTCCTCTTTGAACTACATGGATTAATATTTTCTTTATTAAAAGAATTGTCTAACTATAATTAAATTAATAATATATACATAATATTAATACCTCTAAAATATCTTTCTCATACATATCCATAGGATTAACAATATCAGTTAAAAGATCATTATTTAACTCGTAATCCAAATATATAGTTCATTATTTAGATCTAATTTCATGTTATAATACCTGTGATGATGTTTGTACATTCACCACATCTTGAATGTTTTGCTCATAATCCTAAAATATAGATTATTATATAGTTCTAATTTCATGTTATAATATATGTGATGATGTTTGTACATTCAGCACATTTTGGATGTTTTGCTCATAATCCTAAAATATTAATTATTATATAGTTCTAATTTCATGTTATAATACATGTGAAGATATTTGATCCAAACTAAAACTTGCCTCTGCATTCTTACAAAAATCTTCCACATTTTCTTTTAGCCAAAAATAATCTTCTATAACTTTCAAGTGCCTACTGCTTATCATAGCAGCACCAGAACCTATTTAAATTTTTATTATATTTAATAATATCATACCTGATATTTTTGAAAGGGAATAATATTTATTAAATTTTGACTTTATAGCTGTGAACTATTT